CCTCTCGCACCGGCATACACTCAATGCTTACTTTATGAGGTACTGGGTACAGAACATGGGGCTTTCTGCATTCTTTGCAAGTACCCTACTGACCTCTGCATGTTCTGCAAGTAACCGACTGACAGCCCTTTTTCTGCTTTCTGGTCTGTGTTGCACTGGGAGGCCTTTTGCTTAGACAGACAGCTTCTGATGGGCAAGCTGCCATTCAGAGAAGGAAGGGGCCTCCCGTTGTAGTGTTTCCTGGAACATGGAAGCTGGGCTTTGCTTTCCTCCGGCAGCTTCCTGGAACTTTCCTCCCAGATGGATCCCTTGGGGACAGATGTCCACATTCTGCTGCTTGTCCACATTCTGCTGCTTGGGGCTGGGCCAGGAGAGTGGACTGAGGGAAAGCCTCAAGGTGATCGCTTTCCCCTTGGTGTGTGCCCGGCTTCTGCCAGTTCCCTGTCATGAATTCCACAGGTGAGCGGGTGAGCAACCTGGAGGAACTGCCTCTGAATGAGTACCGGGAGTACATCAAGGTGGAGACGGACAAGGGCACAGAGGTGGCTACCAACCTGGTGATCCTGTGCAACGGAATCAAGATCAACAGCTCTGCCTACCGTGGTGCATTCGGTGAGCGAGTGGCCCAGCAGCAGTTGCTCCCTATGCTGCCTTTTCTCTCTCTGGCATTCGGAGACACCTCACAACCCTTGCTCCCAGAACCAGCAACCCGAACCAGCACCCTGTGTCTCCTCCTCTTATCCCAGAAGCTCATTAGATATTGAATTTTAAATTCAGGTGAACATCCTCCCTCCCCTCCTCCAACAACCCCCTACCCCCACCCCCACACAACTTGGAGGCCAGAATCTTCCAAAGTGAGAGCTTCCCTCTTGTGGTGAGAGATGGGAACAGGCTTCAGAGATCTGGGACTGGAATGGCCTCTTTTTTTCTGTTGCAGTCCATGAGGAAGCTAAGGAATTCCCAGGTCAGGCTTTTCTCCATCCATATGTTCCCTGACTCTCCAAATCCAGATACAAGCATTTGGCTACTTCAAGTTCAAATGTCCATTTTGGGGGAGTCGGGACCTTAACATGGCCTCATCCCTTTAAGCTCAGTGTTTAGATACCTGAGGGCTAGACTGTGGCCTGCTGCATGTCTAAGCATCTGTATGTGAGAGTGAGGCCCAGTGGCCAAGCGCCATGGTTGCCCCGCACCCCCCGTACCTGTATTCACAGCTGAGCACCCTTCCCTGATGAGTCTCTGCCAGGTCCATCAGAAAGTTAGTTTTCAATCTGGAAGGAAGCCAGTCCACAGGGCTAAGTGGGTAGAGAACCCAAAGTTTAACATGTCATTATTCTAAAATACTTTCAAAGATAAGTTCTTTTAAAATCCCTTAAGGGAAACTGTTTATAGTATAGGAAAGGCCAGCACCTATTTTTAAATTCTGTTGTATGTTCCAAAGACAGTAAGACTGGGAAGCCAGAGGACTTGGCAGAGAGCGCTCTGTGTTCTGGATGAGGCTTTCCAGCGCTCTGCCTCTGCTCTTGTGGGTCGGGCTTGCCTTGGCAGGAAGAGTCTTAGGTGGGGACTTCAGGCCTAATGACAGCAGATGGGAATGCCACTTCTTAGCACACATCTCTGAAGTGGCTGGACCCACACCCTGGGCTTGTCCTTTTGTTCTGGAGGCCACCTAACATGGTGTCATCTTGCCCAGCAGAGAGTAGACTGGCCAGCAGTGGCGCTCTGAAAGTGAACGAGTTCCTCCAGGTGGAAGGGTACAGCAATATTTATGCCATTGGTGACTGTGCCGATATCAAGGAGCCCAAGATGGCCTATCACGCTGGCCTGCATGCCAACGTTGTCGTGGCCAACATTGTCAACTCCATGAAGCAGAGGCCCCTCAAAGCCTACAAGCCAGGTAAGGAAAGCTTATGTCGTTTACAGTTGTTGAAGCTTGGGATTGGACACTCGGGAGGCTTTGGGGCCTGGGAGATGAATGAGCACTAGACTTCAGGCCTCAGCACAAAATCTCTTTAAAACCAATCATGTCTGGGGCCGTAGCTCAGAGGTAGAATTCTTGCCTGACACACTGAGGCCCCTGCTTTCCTCTCCAGCATTGCTAACACAAGGGGCTGGGGAGATGGCTCGGTCAGTAAAGTCCTTCCAAGGAGGACCCTAGTTTGATGCCTAGAACACATGTTAAACAACAACAACAACAAAAACCTGGGAGTCTAGCCAGTGGTGGCACATGCCTTTAATTCCAGCTCTGGAGGCAGAGAAGGAGGAGCTCCAAGTTCGAGACCAGCCTGGCCTACAGAGTGAGTTTCAGAATAGCCAAGGCTACACAGAGAAACCCTGTTTTGAAAAACCAAACCAACCAAACAAACAAAAACAAAACCAAACAAAAAGCCCAATGCCATCTGTCCCACCCCTACGAAAACAACAAACATAAAAACAAAACCAAACAAACAGAAAACCCAACCTGGGCCTTGTGGTCTGTAAAAGATTCAGTCTTTTAAAGAATGTGTATGTTATAAGAAGAATGACAGCCCAGGTTGTCTCCCAGCCCCACCAGACATCTGTCGCCTGCTGGAGACTGAAGGCATCAGGGCTGCAGTCCCTCGAGCCTCATCTCACTTTGTTCATCTCCCTCCCAGGTGCACTGACATTCCTCCTGTCCATGGGCAGAAATGATGGTGTGGGCCAAATCAGTGGCTTCTACGTAGGCCGCCTCATGGTGCGGCTGGCCAAGAGCAGGGACCTTTTCATCTCCACAAGCTGGAAAACCATGCGTCAGTCTCCTCCGTGACAGGGAGGCTGCATGGGAGTCTAGGTACTGCTTGGAGGGGTACCTAGACAGACTGCATGACAAAGGACACCCTCCTGACAGGTGCCGTGGGCAGAGCTCTTTGTCTAAATCATGGTGTCAGTCATGTGCTGGTGCTAACACAACTTGTGTAAAGCCTGAAATGAGAAACAGAGAGTAAATGGAGGGAGGCATTAAAAAAAGAAAAAGAAAAAAAAAAAAGCCTAGAAGGTTCGTTCTGAGTTTGGGAAGGCCTGCCTGCAGCTGTGCTAGCTGAAGGGCCTTGGGGAAGCAGAGGCAGCTTCCTGTACTGTAGGCTTCTGTCTGTGTGTGCATGTAAATGCTTAGGGCTTTGGGAGTACTTTACAGTCCTTGTTGGGCAGAGCTGGGCTCCTCTGGCTGGCACCTTGTCTGTAGGATAGTAAAGAGAGCACACAGCAAGATGCTAAAGAAGGGGTGCAGAGGTGGGGAGATGGCCTGCACCTTGAGCTTCTCCTCATATGGGTGGGGAAGCTCGAATATTCCACAATAAGTAGGTTACTAATAGGAGTCTCATTTTATTCTCCCTAACTTATGGTTAGTGTCTGCACTCTGCTCTTTCTTTATCGCCCATCTTCCTCCTCCTCTCCCTTCTTTCTTCTACCTCACCAACACACACACGTGCACACACACACACATTCTCTCTCTCTCTCTCTACCCCCCTTCCTAGACAGTATCTATCTACATTATTCAGATTGGCCTTGAACTCCTGAACTCAAGTAATGCTCCTGCCTCAGCTTTTCTAGTACCGTGGGACGCTCTTTAACCTTCATGAATCTTTATCTCCATATTCGGTTGACTGTAGGTCATAGGTACATTTACAAAATTCTCTTTTAGTTGCTGGAATTTCTTCCCAGTAGGGAGATGTAAGCAACATTTGCCCCTTCTCCTAAGGTCTCAATGACAAACTGAGGCAGAGTTCTCTCAACCTACTCCTTGGAACCCATGAGTTTATTGGATTTCCTTATGTAGTATTGATGAGGGCTGTGCTTCTCCCACAACCTGCCAAACTGGAAAGCTTTAACCAGCAGGGGTGAGGGCTTCATTGATAGCGGGCAGCAGTACGGAGCGCCTCTCCTAGCCCTCCCTGGCCTGTGTGCCCTAGCCCCTCCTTGAGGCTACACACAGTGCAATTAAGGCAGAGTTGAGACAAGCGGTAGGCTGCTGCTGGATACACAGGGGAGGGTCTCCTGGTCCTCCCCACCACCCCACGAGCCGATAAAAAGTCAACAAGGGCAGTTGGGACAATCCTCTAAAAACGGGCAGCAGCTGAATTCCCCAGAATGGTGGTTGCTTGGCTGTGAGGACAGTCACTCAGACACCATTCTAGCAGAGTGAGGTTTACACATCTGGCTGGCCACCGCTGCAGAATCCTAGAATCCTAGGATGGGGACCTGTGACTGGGGGAGGGTACTGGCTGCTTGGTCTTCAGAGTTCAGACAGGCATCTGTGAATGATTCCTAGTGATTTCTAGGTTACCAACAGGCTGCTGCTGGGGGTTGGAGCCATGCTGCTGATTTCCTGCCAGCTCCTGTCACTTGGGCCCTCACTGGCCATCATGTCTGCTATAGACTGCTAACACATATGAATGACTTCTCTATCCATGTGAGCTTGTCCAGCAGGGAAGAGTCCTTGTACATGGCCTAAGTTGAATGTCTATGGCAGACGAGACTTCAGTGGATTCAGACATGCCTCTCCAAACCCTGCCTCTTTCTGCTTGCTTTTGGCCTTGGCGCCTCTGGTTATAGGAAGTTGAGTCCATGTTATACCAGCCTCTCTGGTGCTTCCAGCCCATCCCCATTTGGGCTATGGCTAAGATCTGTTACACAGTTGAGACTTGAGTGTCTCTCCCAGATACTGATGAGCCATCGGCAGCTTTGTCCTGGCTCTGCTGTTGTGGATGGGAGCCAGCAGGCTCACCCTCTGTGGGCACAGGATCAACTATCTGCAGAAAGCCTGCCATGCTGCTGTCTGACTTTACAGACCATGGCGGGACTCTTCAGTGACAGGACTTGTGCTGTTTCTTTACAACACTCTGGAAGAATCTACCTGTGGGGACACAGTTTCCCAAGAGGAAGAAATATTGCAATAAAGGGATATGTTATAAGAAAGACACTGGCTCTTTTATTTTTTCTTTCATTTTTCTTTTTCTTTAAAAAACAAAACCGAACAAACAAATAAATCCCAAAGCAAAACCCTTTTAGGTGTAATTACAAATATTTTAGAGGTCAGAGACAGGACCCTAGAACAGAAAAGCACCCCAAGATGTCTTTCCCATCTTCTCTCCACTGAGGGGGACAGCCAGTATACCCAAGTTTGGCTGTCACATCCTCTTCACTTGGAAAAAGGAGGAACCAAAGCCTTAAGAACTTTGAAAGGATTTGTGTGTGTATGTGTGTATGTGTATGTGTGTGTGTGTGTGTGTGTGTGTGTGTGTAAAGAGAGAGAGAGAGAGAGAGAATAAAAGTCAATGCTATAAATCTAAACAAGGTCTATTTTTATGTTTGTTTGTTTTTTTAAAAAAAGTTCTAAAACAACAGGAAGAAAACACATGGAAAGAAACCCCTGGTGGAGACCTGGCTAAGTGCGGAAGTGGCCCTTTGTAAAGAGAATATAAAATGCACTGGGCCTCTTCCCCAGGCAGACAGGACCTGTTCCGCTGCTCAGACACCCTCTCAGCCGCCCTCTGCTCCCCTGTCATGTCACCCTTCCTCAATCCTTTGAAAAATAACCCCCCTGCTCTTGTGACGTGACATTGGTCCTCCTCTGTCCCCGCCAGAGAGCTACTTGGTGTCCAGTTTGGCCATCTCCTGCACATAGATGCCGATGCTCTCGCTGTCAAAGAGCAGGAAGTACACATTCTTCAGAGAGGATGCGCTCGAGTCGTCGAAGTGGGCCGAGATGGCCTTGAGGGTCACCTGGGCGGCCGTCTGTTTGGGAAAGCAGTTCCTGTGGCCAAGAGAAAGAAGAGCCTATGTCATTTTGTTCCATGTGCCCACTGCTGTAATTCTCTCCTAGTCTGGGGAGAGGGACATGGGTTTCTTTTTGGTTTTCTTCTGACAGCATCTCACTATGTAATCATGGCTAACCTGGGACTCACTGTGTAGACCAGGCTGGTCAGGAACTCAGAGCTCTGCCTGCCTCTGCCTTCCGGAGAACAGGGATTAAAAGCATGTGTCACCACACCCAGTGTTTTCCTATTCTGGCCCTGGACCCTTGTTTGTACAGTGTGGGACTCAACAGGTACAAGGCCAGTCCATAAATCATCTTTTCTGGCATGAGTCAAGGGAAAGATGTGAGTAGGCGGAGAAGTCACCATTGACCCAGATGTGAGTTCAGCCACGGTCACAGAGCTGGTATGTAAAGGATGTCCCAAATTTGAATGTGTCAGCTGACTCAAAGAGCTTCACTTTGTAAATCCAACCGATTCCACATTTATATGACCATGTCTTCAAAAAGCAAACTTTTTTAAAGCTCCTTCAATATCAGTTTACATGCTGTCCAACAAGGGCCTTTTAGAATTGCCGGGGCTGGGATTTGGTTGGCTAGTGGTTGCCTAGCACAGTGGTTCTCAGCCTAGTGTTGTGACTCCTTTGGGTGTCCAATGACCTTTCCACAGGGGTCGCATATCTGATATCCTGCATATCAGATATTTACATTACTGTTCATAACTGTAGCAAAATTACAACTATGAAGTAGCACTGAAAATAATTTTATGGTTGGGGGTCAGCACAACATGAGGACCTATATTAAAGGGCTGCAGCATTAGGAACGTTGAGAACCTCTGAGTCTTGAACTTCTGTTCACTTACATGAAGTTGCCATTGTGATTTTAGCAGCTACTCTCGGCAGGCTGGGCTGGAAAAAGTTTGCTGAGGACTCCCAACCCCCAGGAAGCCATTAATAGTGCTGTTCACCAACTTCTAGGGACATTTAGGGTCAGCTACTAAGATACCTGGGGTAGGTCCAAGAGTCCAGGCTATACTTGCTTCTTGAATTCTCTTGAGTGTCTCTGTGTGGTAAATACCACCTGTGGTCCTATCTTGGAGAATACATCCAAGAATACATTCGTTAGTTTGTCCTCAGCTTTTGTGTGTCTCTGAGTCCGGCCTCTTTCCACTGAGCTTCAGTGAGAGTCCTCCACCGCTCAGGGCACAGTTATCAAAGCCTCAGCCTCCTCTCCTGCTGTCCTCCTGAGCTTTCCCAAGGGATCTTGAAGCAGGTCTTGGGGGCCGATTTATAACCAGGTGATGCAGCTGCTGGTGGTTTCCAGATCATGCTTTGGTTAGCAAGACCTGTGAGCCTGGAGTTTTCTGATCGTGTGTTCTAGGTGAGGACCAAGGGTGGGGATGTGGGTTTGGAACATAGCAGGCCTTCAGAAACAAACATGGGGCATACCGTGAGGATGGCTTGCCACACAAGCATGCAGATCAGAGTTTGATTCTTAGAACAATTATCACGAGGCAGGGCATGGTAATACGTGATGATTTCAGCCAAGGTGTGTAACCCCAATGCTGGGAAGTAAAGATGAGTGGATCCCTGAGACTCACTCTGGCCGGTTGGCCTAACCTAATCTGATGAGAGACATGGAAAACCCACATGTCGGCACACACCTTTAATCCCAGCACTAGAGAGGCAAAAGCAGTCAGATCTCTGTGAGTTTCAGACTAGCCTAATTTACATAATAAGTTCCAGGCTAGCCAAGGTGACATTGTAAGGCCTGGTCTCAAAACAAAAACATAGTGGCTAGCCAAGAGTCATCTGAGAGGAGATGCCTCCAGTTGAGGGATTTGCCCAGGTTAGATTGGCCTGTGGCTATGTCTGGGAGGGATTGTCTTATTTGATGATTGATGTCGGAGAGCCTTGCCCACTGTAGGCATTCCTTAGGCAGATGTTCTTGGGTTGTATAAAAAGATAGCTACGTATGAGCAAGGGAGTGAGCCAGCAAGCAGCATTTGTCCCAGGTTGCTTTGTCAAGTCCCTGCCTTTAGTTCCTGCCTAACTTCCTTCAGTGATGGACTGTGACCTGGAAGCATAAACCAAATAAATGCTTTGCTCTCCTAAGTTACTTTAGGACAGAATGTCTTCTTACAGCAATAGGAAAGTATTACCTGAGGAATGACACTGGCCTACACACACACACACACACACACACACACACACACACACACACACGTGTCATCACAAGCATACACAAAACTAAAATGCCACCTGGCCTCACCCGTGATGTTTACCTTTCTATCTCGGAGTTTATATCACTGCAGCAGGAAAGCTGGCCCTGGCCATGGAGACCTGCCTTCCCAGGCCAAGGGGCCTGTCTGTGTTTGGAAGGTGGGAAATTGGGTTTCTCTCTCTGTTGCCTACCTAACATTCTGGCTGTGCTGGCTGACTCTGTGTCTTCTAGAATGGTCCAGTGGAATTTGGTTATGTTGGAGAGTAGCTGGTTCTCCACAGAAAGGCTGGAAACATCAACTCAGAAACTGTCCTACCTGCCGCTGGGGAAAGGCGGGAAGGCGACGGACTTAAGCTTCTTGTCCTCAGCTGCAGACAGGCAGTTTTTGATGGTCTCTTCCAGCTGTTCTTCACATTTGTCGGAGCCCCACTGGGGGATGTGACAATGGATGACAAACTTGGCAGCGAGTCCACTGGATTGGCTGACGGCAGCTGGGACATAGGAGAGAGAAGTGCAGGTTATCACCTGAAGCTGGGTCATCAGGCCGGGCCTCCCAGGTGACCGTGTGAGATCCTGGAGGTCTAGGAAGTGAAAGAGTGCATGGCTAGCCACATCCCTGCCACTGGGAGGAGGGCTTGGCAGGGAAGCAAAGCTCTCGAGTTGATGTGACAGCTTTATCATTTTTGGTGACCTGCCAACAGGCCCCAGGTCAGGAACATACACAAAGTGGATCCTAGGGACAAGAACACATCAAAATCACACCTGCCACTATGGAAGGTTGAGTAACGACCACCTCCAAACATCCAAATCCCTGGGTTCTTAACTGTTCCCTGACATGGCCAAGGGCACATTATGACTGCAATTAAGGCTACTGGAGATGGACTGTCAGGCTTGCCACACTGGTTAGAGTTAATTGTTGACTTACCAGAATGCTGGGATTAAAGGTGTGTGCCACACTGCCTGGCTTTTTGTTTGTTTGTTTTTTGAGACAGGGTTTTTCTGTGCAGCCATGGCTATCCTGTAACTCACTCTGTAGGCCAAGATGGCCTCAAACCTGGAGATGTGCATGCCTCTGCCTCCTGAGTGTTGGTATTAAAAACATGTGCCACCACAACTTGGCAAGTTTAATTAAAAATTATTTTATAGTTATTAGTATTTTGCCTGCATACATGTCTGCATACTATACGTATGCAAGCCCAAGAAGACCAGAAGAGGGCAGATCCCCTGGGACTGGAGTTAAATATGCCTGTGAGGCACCATGGGGTGCTGGAATGAACCCAGGTCCTCTGGAAGAGCAGCCAGTGCTCTGAACTGCTGTGCCATCTCTTTAGGCCCTCTCCTCTGATTGTTCTCTCTCACTCTCTGAGACAGGATTTCTCTGTGCAGCCTTGGCTGTTGTAGAACTCACTCTGTAGGCCAGGCTGGCCTCAAACTCACAGAGGTCCGCCTGCCTCTGCCTCCCGAGTGCTGGGATTAAAGGCATGCACCACCACTGCCTGCTGCCTGGCTTCTCTCTACTCACATGCCTCCATCCCTTCCTTCCTTCCTTCCTTCCTTCCTTCCTTCCTTCCTTCCTTCCTTCCTTCCTTCCTTCCTTCCTTCCTTCCTTCCTTCGAAGCTGGGCAACCTACCTAAGAGATGTAGTGTGTGACCTTGGGACCCTATCTGGCTATAAATCTCTTCATTTTCAGGGCCATACTGACATCCACAGCACAGTGTTCATGGCAGGGGTTTATCATGGACTGGTCTGGCTTGGAAAACACACAGAGAGGAACCTGGGCTCCCAGCAGGGCATGGCAAGGACAGCTATGTAAGGGCCTGGACTGTAACTGATCCTTTTACCAATTCTAAGAAGTTGGTATTTTTTTCACGTGTTTTAGTATCTTTGAAGAGGCATACATCGTGGGGAGTGGAGGAGAGATGGCTCAGCAGTTATGAGCAATGGGTGCTTTTCCAGAGGACTCAGGTTCAATTCTCAGCAGCCACTTGATGATCCCAGTTCCAGGGGATATGATGTTCCCTTCTTGCTTTGTGGGCATGACATACAGATGGTACACTTACAAACATGTAGGCAAAATACCAATACATACACAATTAAAAAAAGAAAGGGCATACCTCTCATAACTGTTGTTAGCCTACAGGAGGCTGAAGCTCTTACAGAAATAAAAATGCATGTCGTTCTCTGCCTCTGGAGGTCAGGTCCCATGAACCTCTCTGTGTGAGGATTTAGGCAGTGCTGGGCTTCCAGTCTTCAGAAGCGCTGGCTTGCAACTCTCATTCACTAGCATGGCATTTTTTTCTGATCCTAACTGTTGTTGTGCTCATTTTTAAACTCTATTTTATTTGGGATTCCTTAAAGCCTCTCCCTTCCAATCTCCCAACGCTAGACAGGAGGGTGAAGGTTAGTGGGGAGAGAGGGCACAGACCCCTTTACTTCTCCCAGCTGTTTAGGGCCAATGGGTTTTTTTGGGGCTATTCCAATTTCCTTCAACAGCAAACACAGCAAGCATTCTCCTCCAAGCCACTGTGTTGAAAGGTTTCTGTCTGTCTGTCCAAGCCACCACTCTGGTCTCTCCAAACTGCCACCCCTTCTCTTTCTAGGGTATTGTATTTCTATCCCTCAGAGTACTAGACTGGCAGGCTGTTACCAGCTGGCAAAGATCATATCCCACAGGAGGCAATTATCAGCTGTGGACAAACCAACACCCAAACTAAAATCCCACACTTGGGATTAAAACAAAATCCTATTTGCATAACATAACTGAATTTTTAAAAAAAGATTTATTTATTACTTATACAGTATTCTGCCTGCTTGTGTGTCTACAGGCCAGAAGAGGGCTCCAGATCTCATTACAGATGGTTATGAGCCACCATATAGTTGATGGGAATTGAACTGTGGACCTTTGGAAGAGCAGCCAGTGCTCTTAACCTTTGAGCCATGTCTCCAGCCCCCATAACTGAGTTTTTAATGAAACCAAAACTTCCATTCCAATCTGTGGTGGTTTGAATAAGAATGCTTCCAATAGGCTTGTATGTTAGAACACTTGGCCTCCAGTTGGTGGAATTGTTTAGGAAGGGTTAGGAGGTGTGGCCTTGTTGGAAGAGGTGTGTCACTGGGGGCAGGCTTTGAGGTTTCAAAAACCTGTGCCATTCCTAGGTTGGCTTCCTCTCTGCCTCCTGCGTGTGGATCAGATGTAATCACTCCCATGCCCATCTGCCTGCCTGCCTGCTGCCATGTTCCCTGCCATGATGGTCACAGACTCACCCTCTGAAACTATAGGCCCCCAATAAGCTCCTTCTGCTATAAGACACCCTGACTGTGGTGTTTTCTCACCATAATAGAAAAGTAACAAGACACCATCTAACCAATGTCAAGGCCAAGAGCAGAACTTGCTGCACTTCTGTGAGGCAAGGCCAGCTACCTAGCCTATTCTGAAATTTTAATTTTTCTTTTTTTGTGTGGAAAATCATATTTTGTGTGTGTGTGTGTGTGTGTGTGTGTATGTGTGCATGTGTACATGTATGCGCACACGGACATGCACTAACGCATGCAGGCCCCAGTACACACACCAGAGGACAACACGGGCGGGCCACTTCTTCCACTGACAGAATCCCAGGGCTGAACTCAGGTTTTTAAACCTTCACTGGCTGAGCCATCTCACTGGCTCAAACTGCCATTTCATTATAGACAGCCCACTTTTCCTCTTGAGTAGCTTTATGGATTACTCTTGACTTCTGAACTGATTGACCAGTCACTGTGATGGCCAGGTTCAAAGTTTGCTTTTATTTGTTTTGCCCAATATTTTAATGTCTAATTCTGGAACATTCTCTGCTAAGAACTCTTTAACTACTGCTTCACCATTCGCTCACAATGTTCAAATTCTGCTTGGAATCATGTCAGAGCTTCTTGTGCTGTGTCCAGGTTGCTTTTCTCTCACATGTTCAGGTACTTTCTGAGAGGCTCCTCCAGACCCCTAGACCAGGGAAACTCCTCAACAGCTGACTGAGTCATGGTGACAGAGGGAGTGAAAGCTGGCACCGTGACAAAAAGGCAACTTAAGGAATGGGGGATTTATTTGGGCTCATAGCATATAGTCTGAAGTGGAAAACACTTAGCTTCCTGGGGATTCCCTGCCAATGACTGTGAGGTGGTTGGCTAAATAGTGTCAGAAAGAAGAATGTAGATAATCCACTAGCCAATGCCCCCAGCCTCACTTCCCCAGCTAGGCCTCACCCCAAAAGGTTCTACAATCTTCCCGAATAGTGCTGCTAGCTGGGAACCACACGTTCAGACAGATGGACATATAGAAGCACGGACTTTGCCCTTGGTGGAAGGGTGGAAGGGTGGGTACAATGTTTTGCTTGCATACATCACACATGTGTGTAGTGCCTGCAGAGGCCAGAAGAGGGCATCAGATCTGCTGGAACTGGAGTTCTAGACTGAGCTGACAGGAGGGTGCTGGGAACTGGAAGAGGTGCCAGTCTTCTTAAGTGCTGAGCCATCTCTCTAGTCCTAGCTATGGGAGTTTTATTCTGTCTCTTTTCCCTCCAGTGATGGGAATTGAGCCCAGGGCCTCACACATGCTAGGTGAATGAGTGTTGTACCACTGTGCTGCAACCTAATTCCTCATGGGGATTATCACTGCTTGTGGGTGTATGTATGCGTGTGTGTGTGTGTGTGTGTGTGTAGAGGCTAGAGGGAAGCCTTGGTGTCACCCTCAGGAACACTGTTCACCTCCTTTGAGATGGACTCTCACTGGCCTAGAAATCACCAAGTAGGTTAGACTGGCTGGCCAATAAGCTCCAGGGATCCTCCTGGATCTCCTGGTCTCCACCTCCTCACCATTGTACTCAGCATGTTGAAAGTGCCTGGCTTTTTAAAACGTGGGTTCTAGGGATGGCATATCCTGTTGTAGACAGTGACCATGTACAGCTGTGAAGGCTGGAGGCTGCGAGGATGGGGTTGAGCCAGGCTGAGATGCAGCCCAGTCTCACACTTACCTTCAGCAACTTCCAAAGGGCCTTGGGATTTGCGAAGCTCCTTTACTGTCTCCAAGAACTCTTTACCCCCAGCCTTTTCCAAGGCTTTACCTGCAAAGGAGAACAATGGGGGCTGTGGTGAATGTCCTTCCAATAGAGTCACATTGTCGGGCACCTTAGGTCAGGAAAACCTTAGAACATAGGCATGGCACATGCCATTTGTTACTTGGGTTTGTCAGGGGTCACTGAAGGCACCGTGGCACTGCACAGAGCTCTGGGCCTCTGTGCAGCAGACTGAAAGATAACAAGATTTGTTAAAGGATCCCCACTCCCCTGCCCATGCTCCCACCATCTCTCTCTTCCTCTCTTTTGTTGCTAAGTATGGGAGCTAAGACCTCCCCCATGCTAAGCAAATCATTTGCCACTGAACCAAGTCCTAGCAAGGAGGAACACCCCAATCTGAAAAACCCAAATCCAATCCTTTCCAAACGCCAACACAAAAAGGCCAGTGCAAGATGCCACATCCAGTCTCACATGATGGGTGGGTCACTGTGCTGTGAGATGTGTAAGGGGACCCCGTCTCTCTTGGGAGCAAAGGGAAGGTGTCACATGTTGCTAAAGCACTGCTAAGATCTGTTGAAGTCACTATTAGGGTTAATAATAAGTTCTTCCAAAAAGCATTTAAAAATTCATGTATCTTTTATGTGTCTGGGTGTTTTGCCTGCATACATGTCTGTGTACTCTGTGCATGCATGGTGCCCATAAAAAGCTTCTCTCAAGTAGTCTTTTTGGCCTACTCTTCGTAATGCACGCAGAGGTGACAATAGTTTTAAAAGCAGAAGTGAAGGTGGAGTGGCAGCGGCAGCAGCAGCAGCTGAGCAGTTGGCAGGCTGAGCTGCAAAGATGGCCAGGTGCTGACTGACAGCTGGGCTGTTTGAGGTCAGGAACCAAGGGGCAACCAGGGGTCCTAGACAACCCAGGTCCAGGGGCTGGAGCCCTAAACATCTGCAGGTGCTGAGGAATCTTGGTGCTTAAGCCTGCCCAGAAGCTACAAGGCCTCCGGCTGCCAAGAGCTAAAGAATACTGACTTCCTAGATCTCCAGAAGAACAGAAACACAGGATGCCAATACCCCAGGCCTGCATGAGAGCTTGTACCAGCAGACGGGGCAGGAGCTGCTGTCCCCACCTGCCTGCTGCAGCCACTCGCCACTGTGTAGGGGGTCTACAGGAAACAGAAATAACCTTGCATTTGGACTTGGATCCCATTCAGAAGACATCTCATTATGCATATGCAAATATCCCCCAATCCTCCTAAATCTGAAATATTTTGGTCTCAGGCACTTATCGTTATTATTTATCATTATAATTACTCGTTTCTGAGGTTTCCACACTCAGGCAGGTACTCACATATCTTCGGAGGACTAGAACCTGTCAGTGAATTTATATGAATGCTGTTGGAGATGGTATGTCTTCATTAAGGAGTTTAGGTCTCAGAGATACAGCCCAGCAATAACAGTTGTGAGCCTTGCAGCACATTTCTGAGTCTCATTTCTGACTCCCAGAAGCCTGGGGATAGCTGGAGATGGAAGCTGGCACTGACGTGCAGACTGCTGTACTCTGCGTTTGGGATCAGGGGTCAGGTGGAGTTGGGTGGAAGGCAAGGTGAACCCCTTCTTCCTGAAGACTCAAGAATGAAGCAGCTTAAAGGGCCAATGAGGCTGACAGTGAAGGGGATGGGGCCTGGCTGTGCGTCACTTTGTTTGAGGCTTGCCTGGAACGCAGGAAGCTTTGGGTTCGCTGCCCAGTGTAGAATGATCGGGGCATGGTGGCTCACACCTGTGCGGGAACTACACCGATTCCCAACCGCTGAGGAGTGCATACAGCGGCAGGCACCACGGCAGGTTACCCCTTTCAAAGGGAGAGATTATGATGGTGGCGCTCGCCTTTTAATCCCAGCTCTTGGGAGGCAGAGGCAAGTAGATCTCTGAGTTCAAGGCCAGCGTGGTCTACAGAGTGAGTTCCGGGACAGTCAAGGCTACACAAAGAAGCCCTGTCTCGGAAAAGAAAACAAAACAAACAAATACATCGGGGGCCTTGGCTGGATAGGATGATTAGTGCTGTGTCTCTGGCACAGAATGTGTCTCCTAACACCGCAGGTCTGTCTGTTAGGGACACGAGCTGGTTTACTACACCTCTAGCCCTAGCCCTGTGCCACCTGTGTGCCTGTGAGCACAGCTATATGCTCACTATGGATGAGGAAACGGAGGTTCAAGGAGGTTAGGGAACATGCCCAGAGCCATTCAGCCAGGTAGAGATCTGTAAGTGCCTGGAGAGACCAGGCCGATTCAGAAGTTGCTCTCTTACTTATCTGCCGGCTTTTCAGCCTGTCTCACCTCCTCTGACTGACTGCCAAGAGGTCAGCTAGAGGATCCACCAGTGGCATCTAAACTTGATTTTTCACTCCCATAACAGTGCATGCCACTCTACCCTACTTTAACAGAAGAGCACCTCTTTTTGATGTTTTGACATAAAAAAAAAAAAAAAGCAAAAGTATGAGGATGTTCCCAAGCTAGGGATTGCAACCAACCAAAACAGAGCTGGAGATGAGGGCACTGGGGGACCCTTCCACAGTGAGGAGAGCCTTCCCGAGGCCAGTCAGGGTCTGCCACAAGGCAAGAAACAAGACTGTTTTTGCAGCTCTGTCACTGCCCAGTGTCACCCACCTACTTTCCAGCAGAGCAAGTGGCCTCTGGTGCCAGACCCAGGAGTCTGGGGCCACCGCTCAGGGCTGAGCTGCTAGCAAGGGCTTCAAAGCACCTACCCCAGGGCTGGTCCTGGATTCCAGGGCCAAGGCTTTTTCTTCACTCCATTGCCCTTTCAATGGGGGGTTTAAAACGGTTTTGTCTTGTGAAAATGGACAACATGGCACAGATAGGGCCTATTAGGTTGCTGTTATTGCCTATGCCTCTGACAGAGTGTTGGCCCACCCCCCTGAGCTCTTTTACCTCATTGATTATGGCTTTCTTTTCAACTCATGGGGCTGGCACAATAATAACACAGCCTTGAGGATCCTGTAGTTCTTTCTATCTTTTTTTTTTGGGGGGGGCAAGGTTTTGAGATAGGGTCTCCATGTGCAGCTTAGAACCCTCCTGTATGCTTCCTGAGTGCAGAAATTACAGCGGTGTACCCTGAGTTCTTCCCACGTCTCTGTCCCTTTCCCTTTCACCAACAGCATTCTCACTATGTGAGCTTAAAACACAACTTGGGGTTCAGTCCAAAGTCTGTGCAACCACATTCATAGCGGTGGCACTCAGGATGGTCCCAAATGAAGATGGCCCAGGTGTCATCAACAGCTTGCATAATGGAGCCCACATTGTGGCATAATCACTCAGTGAAATACTACACAGCAAAGAAAATAAACAAACATACTCAGTAACTCAGGTAGGTTTTGCAGATACTAAGCGGAGCTGAAAAAAAAAAGTCACATGGGACCATTTAAATAGAACTGAAAACAGATGGAACCCCTCATGCTGTCTGTTTTTCTCTAGAGGGAATGGTGACAAGGGGCGGGGCTGGAAGGGCTTCTGGTGAGGGTCTCCTCACCAGTGTGCTGGTTGTACAGCAATGTTCACTCTTTGCTTCAAGACAAGGTCTCATGTAGCTAAGGCTAGCCTCCAACTCTCTAGGTCATCAAAGACCTAGATACGGAACACCCAGTCGAGGGTGGCTGAGGACTGAGTTTAGGGCTTCCTGCATGAGTTCCTGATGTGTGAGGATCCAGGGCCTTGCGCACACTAGGCAAGTGCTCTACCTGCCACGCTCCATCACTTTGAGAACATGTCAAGTTGTACACAAACGGTCTGCCTCCGTCCATATAGCAAGACCCTAAGACAAACCTCACAGAATCGGCACAGAGTCAAAGCAAACCTTGTTCAGCAAAACCATTTTGTCCCATCGGAAGACATTTCCACCTGGGACCTCAGGCAGAGGACAACTGAGTCCGCGACAACTTGTCTGGATAGCGGGCTATGCCATGACACCTCTCCAAAACCCAGGCCTTACCTATCTCTTCCTTGAGGTCTATTTCGGCTGTGGTTGGGTGGACAATGCCCTCCACCCTCATGGAGCCAATATGGCTGATGTCACTTTGGGTCAGGGATAGCTGCATTAGGAAGAAAAGATGGGAGGAAAAATCAACTGCCATTGAAAATCATTTCAGTTTACATCACTGGCATCATTTTTCTCGACTAGTTGGGTTGAGGGGCAGCACAGGGGCTCAGGTTCTCAGGTATTTCTCTTGTTCTGAGATACGGCCTCAGGCAGCTTAGGCTGGTCTTGAGTTCACGGACGAAGCCAATGTTTGCCTTCAGCTCCTTCTGCCTCCACCTCCCAATGCTGCTGTTATAGACCTGAGCCACCATGCCAGGCTTCCTGGTGTCTGGTGTTGAGCCACTCTTTTGAGACCAGCTGAATGCAGACAGCCTGCCTTCGCTGCCTGGAACAGAAATGGGCTCTCCCTTCCTCTCTCTTTCCTTCATCATTTATTTACGTGTCTTTTGTTCCTAACCTTGGTGGCCTTGGTCACCTCTAACACATGTCGGTAGCTCTGTGTGGAAAGCAGCCGGAGGCTTGCTCTCTTCTCCCACATGAAGTACAGCGCCTTTGTGGGGAGGTCAGTGGTCTTGCTGGCTCTGGGCTCCCACCCTGCCCTTACCTTGTGCCTAGTCCCCAACCCTTCTTCTGTCCACTGAAGGCCTTGTGCATGCCAAGGAAGCACTCTACCCCTGAGCTACGTCCTCAGCCCCGAGTACCACACTCTTGGAGCTGTCTTACGTGTTTTTGGCAGAGTAGGAGGAAGAACATTTCCAGTGTCTTTACAGTGAGAGGGAACTTTTTAATTCTCTAGATAAGTTTGGGAGAAAGATCCTGGCCCTGGAGGGGACACACATACATCCCACCTCTGAGCCTCAGGGTTTTTTGTTTTGTTTTGTTTTGTTTTTTTGTTTTTGTCTGAAATGAATAAGGAACTGCCACATCCTCTCCAGGGGACCTTGAAATCTCCAGCTGTCTGGATGAAGATGCATTTGTTCAGCAGGCTGAGAACAGGCAGTGCCCAGAGATCTGGCTACTTACCTGTGTACCTTATTTCAGCCCCGGTTGACTCTGTAGATAATCCTGTCTGCTCAGTGAATTTGATGTGCATAGAAATGAATTATTTGCATGTCTGGCAGGATGCTAAGACATTGCTGGAATCCATCCTGTTAGGTTTTACCTTTTTTTTTTTTTTCTGTAGCTCAGGAAGGCAGGCAGACTGAATTATTGACAAGTAATTCATTTCTAGCACCCGCCATATTCAAGAAACATATATTGCCATTCTCTCCCTTGTTAAATGACATTTAATCATGGAGGCTAGGCCTCTTCAAGCCTGGCTGGGAGTTAGCGATAGATTTTCTCAGTGGGTAGAGACATAATTGGGGCTTGGGGATTTCCCAACAGAACCAGGAATGGCATCCTATTGATCAGGTTCTCTAGGAAGACTTCAGGCCGACCTTGGGTTGACCAGCACAAGCTATTCTCCGAACCAAATGGTTTGCTCTAGAAATGCATATATCACCTGGGTTTTCCTTTAAAAATATAGTCCAGGAGCAGAGTGAACAGGAGGAAGGGATGAAGGCGGCACCCTGGCTTGTGAACAGTGGGTATATAGAGGGGCTTACCGCAGCCCAGTTTGAGTTTATTACCTTCTGCCCCAGAACGAGGCTCTTCGAAGACAGGATGGTGAAGCCATCCCCCGGGCCATCTTCAGAGGTGGAATTGGATGTTCCTTCTTTATCGCTGTCCTTTGGTTTGGACTGTGGGTGGAAACCAGAGGGCAAGATGAGAAACAGTCTAGAGAACACTCCTGTGACTGCGGGATAGTCCTTCCGTGAGCACCGCCAACTTGGCTACGAAGGGAAGGGGTCAGGAGCTTACCTCCGGATGATTTGCAGTGAATGCAGGTGTCATGTGTACTCTTTACTGAGCTATACTCTTGGTTCTTCTCTACCTCCTCCCCTTATCTCCCACTTTCTCTCCTTCCCTCCCTCCCCTCCTTTCTTCCTTCCATCTTTTCCCCTGGCATACAAAATAAAAGGTTTCAGTATGACATTCATACACATATATCGTTGTGCTTTGCTCAACTCTCCACTATTCGCTCTGCTGTTTTTCTTGGCAGTGGGGGGAGGGGGAACTATGTATTGAACTCAGGGCTTCCTAATCAAGTAC